GATAAAATTTGTATTTTAAGAGCAAAAGGATTGAATACTAAACTTATCTGCAAGTCTGTCTTTTGAAAAGTAAAAGGAGAACTTCATTTTAAAATTATAATAGTACAGAATATGGATCTAATTCTGGTTTGTATTCTTCTGGAGGACCTAGTTCAGACTCCTATAAAGAAGGTGACAAATCAATTAATGACTCAACTCAATATTTTTCTATCACTTAACCAAGATTTAAACTGATTTAAGATTTTTTATTAGGAAGGAGGTTAATATTAAGAAATTCTTTAAAGCTCAAGATACTAAAAAAATCTGCACAGAATATCCACAACAAAGATTTTCATTTGTCTTATAAACATGTAAGTTCTATTATGTGTAAGAACAGTAAGTAGTGGATGTGAAGTGTTTTAAAAATTTATCTTACAATATACGGATAAGTACAAAACTTCCTACTTATAATACAAGTTTTGTATCTTGTATAAGATACAAATGAAAAAAATCTTTAGTGAGTATCTACAATGTGCCAGGCTCTGGAAATACAAAAATATGGGAAATTGGGGCGTTATAGTCTATCAGGAAAGACAAATTTAAAAACAAACACTATTCAGCAAGAAGCGTTTCAATAGCAGCAGAAAGGCAATATATAAGGAATAATGAGCACCCCAGAGAAAAGAGTGCCATAGTATTATACAAATTCAAAGGACAGAAAGATCCCTACTGGCTGGCAACTCCATTGAACCCGGAAGAATAACTAGGATTGTGAATGGCAAAGAAGGAAGGGAAGATATTCTAGTGGCAGAAAAAGTATTTCCATAAGCATGGAAATAAAAAGGTAAAGAGTAAAAAAAATGGGACGTCTGGGTGGCTCAGTTGGTTAAGTGTCTGTCTGACTTCAGCTCAAGTCATCATCTCACAGTTCATAGGTTCGAGCCCCGTGTCGGGCTCTGTACTGACAGCTCAGAGCCTGGAGCCTGCTTTGGATTCTGTGTCTCCCTCTCTCTCTCCCCACCCCACCCCCCAAAATAAATAAGTAGGCATTAAAAGAAAGTAGAACACAATAGCGATATATCAATTATAAGCTAAATGATGAAACACTTTGAGCTTAAGGAGAGAAATGACACAATCAAAATGATACTGTTAAAAAATTATCCTGATGAATATGAATATGCTGGATTGGACCAGAGAGCCAGGGAAGGCAGATAAAGCAATTAACCTATTATTATACTCTAAGGATAAAATAAAGGTATGAACTAGGTTGTTAATGAGAGTAGAGTAGCAAGGAAAAGAACTGATAGGATATATGTAGACAAAGAGATAAGTAAACAATAACTGAATTTTAAGCCTGATCCAGAGATTAATGATATCACTGAAAGAATCAGAGGCATTAATAAGAAGAGTAGGCTTGGTAAAGAAAGATTTAACTTTTATTTCAGGCTGAATTCAAAGAAATTCCTGACATTGATGTAAAACTGTCTAACAACAGGTACCTGGATACAGGTAATGTCTTAAGATATGGAAAAAAAAAAAATACATATATATATATAAACTAATGTTAAATGATAAAAGTAGATTATAAAACTGTATTTCAGCTATGAAAATCCATGTGTGAATAAGAATTCTTTGAAGAAATCACAAGGGTAAACGCAAATACAGTAGTTGCTATCCCATGACAAAGGGGGTGAAACTCTATTTACTACATTACTACTTAAATATATATTTTTAAGTAGAGAATCACAATATATTGAGTAATATTTCATTTTAAGTCAATACTTCATTACTAGAAAAATGGAAATGAGGGACTGGAGCTCTGCAGAAATGTGAAAACTGGAAACTGACTTGGAAGTTACTGGCACAGAGGAAGTAGATATAATTTTAAGGTAAAAATCAAAGGTTAAACTCAAAACTGTTGGAAGAAATCTCAGTCCTGCATTTTATGCAAGTATCAGTAGGACTCAGCAATAAGGCATTTTATAGAAAACTCTTTACTCTCCTAAAATCTATAATGTATACTGAAATATACAGGTAGAAAACGGTACTAGGTACCTATAAAATCAGAGCTGATTAATGCCCACCAATAAAAATAAAAATCTACTCTAGACTTCAGTTCTAGAAAATCAGAAGTTTATTTTAACTTCAGTACTATTTAGTATTGTTTTCTAGCTCTGGGAGTCAGGGGGAGGGAGGCTATTCCAGAGACCAAGACAGGAAATTTGACACGAAACACTGCTTTTTTCCAATATGGATGACATACTTCTGTACAAAAAGAATAACTGAAAATTCAGTATCTTTTGTAACTTTCAATGAGAAAGGACATTCAACCAACAAATTTTTAAATATAAGATGCTAAATATTAGATTAAGTATATTTAAGGATTGTGAAGTTTCTAAAACTATCCTGACAGTGAAATTTAAGACACTTGACTAAAACCAAAAACATAAATATTCCAAAAGACTAACCGATAGATAATCTAGCAAAAACATTTTAGGTATTATATCATCTTTTGAGAGGTTAAATTAAAAAAAATACTATTGTAGGGCTATTATATCAATGGGTCAATTTTAGGTTTTTTAATTTAAGTATTTAAAAAAAGCACCATTCAAGGTATTTCTTAAAAGCTTAAAATTTCCTTGTGATTCTTTTTTTTAAAAAAAGTTGTATTTATCACCTTTGCACTGTTGTTCTGAATTTGCCCAAAGCGAACTCCTTGTTCTCACAGTCACAATGGGAAAAAAGTACAAGAGTTGATAAAAGAGAAATGAGAGTAGAGAAAACACGATAAAAAATTTAATGCTTGATATTTTAAAGACTTTGGCTTCACTGACATAAGCAATGTGCAGATAAAATTACAAAAAGATACTATGCAAATGATTATGCATAAACTTCGAAATTTCTGCTTAACAAGCTTCTCAGCTAAAACAAAATACCCAATAAAGACTACACCTACATGTTGCCAAACAACTGAATTCAGTTAATCAGGAAAACATTGATAAGTCTGATAATTCTTGCAACATGTCCAAATTGAGAGGGGAAAAAAAAACCCTTAAGAAATCTGTAATGGGTATTTTCTCTTCTTACCTAAGCCAATATTAATATTACATTAACGTAAGTATTAGAAAATTTCCTCTTCCTCCAAGCAAATACAATTGGGTTCCTCCACAAATATAATAACTTTAAATTTCTATTTGACAATTTTAATAAAACATATTGATGTAAACCATTATCCAATTGTACCCTGACCTCAAGCATACAATAAATGTCTTTCAGAATCAATTCCGTACTAACACATGCAAATTACACTTGAAAGATACTTAAAGATTCTTCATCTTACATAACTACATTTTTATCATTTTTAATGGCAAAAGTTTCTTTCATTCCCAACACGTTTTTAGAATCTAGAATTTGCTATGCTTTAAAATAAACCTCAGCCAAATAAAAACCATGCTATACATTAGAGATTCTAATGACACAGAAAAAGAACTCAAGACCACACTGTATTTTTACTGAGTTCCACACTCTGAATTCCAGATTTGTCCTGCAACTTGTCAGTCATTTCAATTCATCCAGTCAACTTTGTAAACAAAGGCTATAAGCCAAGTTTGATATGAGAATTCAATTAAATAAAACTTAAAACGGTCATCATTCACCAAACAGGAAGCAGCAAAAGGAAAAATGCCATCACACACCTCTTTTAAAAAGGCAGTGGGGCAATATGCATAAAATACAAAGCCTTAAGTTTCAACCTCCCAAACAAGTTTTTGTTACAGTATTAAATAAAACACAGCTATGATCTTCCATACATAACCAAGGCAACTTTGAGATAGTCTACAAATCTTTTCACCGTAAGGGGAAGTTATTGCTGTAAAGTCGTTTTCTAGGTTAATTCCAATTGACCAGTAAGAAAATGGAAAGAGTCTATGTCCTGTCACCTATTACCATCACTTAAAAATTGTTTTTTTTATGCAGAACTCTACGTGGTTGTGTTGCTTTTGGCCTGTTAAAGGCAAAGCAACATTATCTCTGGATTGCCAATAGTTTCTCCTTATTTGGCTAACATTGAGAGATCCCAATCAGACTACTATAAAACTTTAACATGCACAAAGCATCCATTTTGAGAAAAGTTTCTGACCAGCTTTCTTTTATTTTTCCACCCCCAAAAGGAAAATCAGAGCTTGGTAGTCGGCTCTGAAAAGAGTGCCCCGTGTTTATTTCTCTCTTTCTAAACCCCAGTGCACACCCCAAGACGTGGGGCTCAAGGATCTCTGACACTGCGGCAAACTCTTCTCGGAGAATACACTTTATTTAGTACGTTCGGGTCCGGCAGTGGGCAAGCCCTTTTGAACCCTTCCTTACCGTACGCACCTCCCTCCCCTCCCTTTCACCCGGTGCAGATCAGCTAATTACACCCCGTCTCCCCCCTCCCCAATGACCAACAATAATAAAGGAGAAAACAGGAAATCGTCCGCTCAGGCACTCCGCTTAGGGCTCTTGATTACTATTATTATCATCATCATTTGTAATCAAGCCCTAAAAACTACAGCAAATCCAATGCCCACCTACAAGCCAAAGACGTCCATCTGCTCAAGTGTCCCTAATGCCCTCGTCGGTTGTTTTCTTTAGCATCCCCCGTCGTGCAAGTATATCATTGACATCGGGCCCAGGTACAAGCCCAGTACACCCCTCCCCGTCTCGACCCCAACTCCCAGACACACGTCCACAAATGGACCTGGGGCCCCAAGCCGACCACAGTCCCTTTTTCCTCTGCCCCGGAAATCACCCAATTTCCAACTCCAACATCAACTAGTCTGAAGGGGGCCTCACGCCAGAAGCCCTCCCTCCACTAGTTCTATCCCTCCCACCCTCCCTCCCTCGCGGGAAGCCGCCCCCTCACCCCGCAGCAGGGAGTCTCCCGCCGCCCCCAGCCTCCGGAGGCCGAGAGCGGAGAGAAGGCCCCGGCGGGAGGCCGACGAGAACCCGCAGGGTCAGGACAGCCAGCGGCGGGGTGCACAGACCTGGTGCAGGGCAGTGAGTCCGTCCACATTGGCGTAATTGATGTCGGCGCCGCGGTGCAGCAGCTTGAGGACCTCGTCCGTGTCGCCGCTGGAGCAAGCAGCCAGGAAGACGGCGCCATCGTCGAACTTCACCTTGGTCTTCTGGCGCTTCACCACGGGAGGCTCGAGGTCCGTCTCGGAGCCGATCCAGCGCTTCAGCTGCTCGTTCCGCTTCTGCTTCGCGTCCGCCATCTTCATCCCCTCTCCTGCCGCCGGGTCTTCTTATCGCGAGGGGGAGGGAAGGGGGAGGCGGAGAGGGAAGAGAGGGAAGGCAGGGGGTGTGTGACTGTTTCTATGAGTGCGGGCCAGAGGAGGGCTGGGAACCGGGAGGAGACGCTCGAGACTTCCAGTATCCCACAGAGCACTGGGGCGGCGCGCCCGGCCGAGCGGACCTCCCTTCCTACCTCAGAAGCCCTCCCGCCCCCAGCCCGGCCACCCGTCACCGGCGGCCAATCTAACGTAACTTCGCGAGATCCGGACAGGGAGGCGCCCTTCGACCAGCGCGCATGCGCCCTAGGCCTGTGCCCGCCCCAGGAAGAGCGCTCGCGCGAACTGCGGCGGGGGCGGCCAGGCCACCGGAGGGAAGCGGGTGTGGTTCAGCCCGCCTGGGCGGCGGGGGCTGGGACCAACCTGGAAGGGCGGAGACAGGGAAGGAAGGTTGTCCCGCCTGGCTGAGGGCTCCTGGGTTCCGGAGGCCAACAGTCGGTCTTTACGGCCGACCTGCCTCCAGGGCTGTCTGAGCTCCTCGGAGTCGTTAGCTCTGGGCGGAGGATTTTCCTATTGGCTGCGTTATTTGAATGGAATGGAGGATAGGACGTGAATTAGGCGCTTGTAATTTCTCTTTTTGAGGAACTCGGATGAACTTGGTCATGTCAGTTTTGATAAGAAGCTCTTAAAAGCGGGGTCTGTGTAGCCGAGGGCTTTGGTGGTAGTTACCCCAGATCTCAGCCCTTGGTGACCGCCGGGTAACAAGGGTTGACCTGTGGTAATTGCGGTGGCTTCCTGCCAACCTCCACTGTGAAACTTCTTTCCCCTTATGCTTCTCTTTTGTTGTTTTGTTTTGTTTTTTCTCTCACGCGTATTTCGGGTCCTCTTACCCTTCCTTCAGTGCTTTAAGCCTCCCTTGTACTACCAACGGGAGCTTAGATCAGCCTGGTTACTGGCCCTGACCTTTTAAGGGATTTCTGGTTCCTGCTCCATTGCTTTCTAAGGATGGGTAAAGACCCAGCTGCTTTTAGAGTTCAAAGGAATGTTAATATTACGCAATTAATTCAGTTGGTATTTATTGAATATTTACTATGAGCCAGTCATTGTTCTAGGCACTGGCAATACATTGACCATAAGGACGTATTTAAACCACTGAGGTCACATTAAAAAAAAAAAAGAAGATTTTATAATTCATTATAATCATAAAAAAGGGACTTTTATCGTTGTCTTGTCTGACACCGAACATACGATTTGTAACAATAGCTAAAGTCTTTGAAGCCATCCATTTGCAATCTCCACCAACTGATATTTTTCTAAACACCATTGTTTTCGTTCATTAAAGATTTTTAGAACATTTAGAACCAAAGCAACAAAAGTCTTAACTCTTTACCATTGAATGGAACTTTAAGGAACATCTAGACTGAGTCCTCAAAGAACTAATTAATTTTACTCAGCAGCAGGATTGGGATTCCTTCAGCAAATATGCACCTGTACTGGGGTCAGGCATTTTCTAGATACTGGGGGTACAGCAGTGAGCAATTAAGCTTTTCTTATCCTCTAGTAGACTACATTGCAGCTTTTCATGTTGAGAAATAAAATACTTGAGTAAAATGCAATTAGGAAGCCACCTGCCCGGTAAGACTGAATTTTCTGAACTGCAATTACTAGGACAGTAATAAAAACTCAAATTAGGGCAAAATAGTTCCTCTGAAAATATTGTAGAAATAGAAAGTGAGTGTAACATGCAAAAAACACACCGTTGCTATTATCAGATCTTTGAATAATGATGGTTTCAGGTGCTGAAGAACTGTAGTGCTAAAATACAAAATTTGTATTCACTTTAAGAACTCTAGAATACGGCTCTTATAATAAAAGAAAGGAATCTGAGGATTGCTTTGTCAGCTTCCCTGTCTACCTAGACAAACTGGCAGCTTATCCTTACTGTTTCCCAAGAATGTTATCGTCTTATTTGGTAGCACTTAAAAGTGTCCTGGAATACAGATTGGTATCTCAAGTTTTCATTTGGACAAGAGTTTGGTGGGAAGTATGCTATTTCTGATTCAAGCACTTAAAAATGTAAAATAAGACAGTAGTTTATTAATAAAACATAAATAACTATCAGTTACCAAAGGCTACCTGTCAAAAACAAAACAACAAAAACTTACTTGGTCTATTAATGTATGCAAATTTCATTGAGTTTAGCTTTCAGTTAGCAAGTTCCATGTTAATCTCATTGGAAGTACTCTTAAACTGCTACCTGCTTTGCATTTGTATGGAGGATTTTTTTTTTTGATGCTATTATTGAATTAATAATACTGAAGACCTATGGCTAATTCCAGAACGACAAAACTTCTTGTTTAAAAAACAACACAAAGCAATCACTTCATAATACTTTAGTAGCTGAATTAACTTCAAACTTTAAGCAGCAGAAGAAATGTAAAAATAAAAATTGAACTATATTTTGCTATAAACTATAATTTGCTAACTGGTTTTCTTTGCTCAGCAAATCATTAATTATGTTTGGGGTCCTTATTACATGCAGGAGGCTGTCAAAAGAGAATATGTACCTTTTTTTAAGATTTTAGTTTTAAGTAATCTCTACACCCAACCCCGGCTCAAACTCACAATCCCCAAACCAACAGTCACATGTCCTACTGACTGAGCCAGCCAGGTGCCCCCAAGAATATGTATCTTTCTAAAAGCTTAATTACACCGCAGATATCCCCTACTAACCATTTATTTATGATTGATTTGAAGAATTTTTAATTAAATCACTAATTTACTTTAAATACACACATGAAGCTAGATATTTCTCTGTGTTCTCTCTGATGTACCATCACCTAAAGAGTCCAGCAATAATATGATACTACACTTACAGTCAAGTTTATTAGAAAAACAACTAGAGAATGTAATAACATAGGCACCAACGCTTGTGTCTGTATGGCCTTAGCTTAGTACCAACCTCTATGATGTGGAGATTTGTTTATTTATTTACTGATGAATGAATCTAAATTTGAAAATATATTTGATTATTTGTAATATGTGAACACAGAACAAGAAAAGGAAAATTTTAAAGTCAATCCAAGCCAAAAATACAAATTTCAGAATTAGCCTTTTGTTCAGTAAAAGATTGGTTAATTGCCAGATGGTAAAAAGCTCGTTTACGTGTAAAAGGAAGTTGGTCTGTAACTATTAAAGAAAATAATTAAGAACTCTTGGGATGTAGGTTGTTTCTTTGCTTAATTGATAGCTCACTGTTTTGCCAGCCTTTACAATCTTTGTAATAGCGAAGGTATATATCTCTAATACTATGTAGCATACTAAAATATTCCATAAACCAACTTTCTGTTCAGTGAATCTTTTTCCCTGTTAACCTTTATTATACAATTGGAAATGTACTTTGGTACAAAGTGTACATAAGATATTGATAAGTACTTTTAGTCATACATTTAAATTCTCATCCGTAATTCAAACCTAAAATTCTAATTTACGTTTATACAGTTGAGAATAGAATGGTCGACAAGGCAGTTTGGTCTTATCTCCTATACTCTATACCTGGCCTAGCCTCTCTTCCATTGTATAATAATTTGTTTCAAATGTTGTTTTTAGGAACTTGAAGAAAAGTTTACAATCTGCCAGCATCATAAGATATTCAGACCCACCCGGATTACTGACTGGGACCAACACTAAATCACCCTAAGTTGCTTCAGACTCTACTTTTAGGCCAAACCTGATTTCTAGATCATAGCATCTAACCCCTTCCCTTGAGTCTGAGTTACAAAGTCAGCCTCACTCCCCAGCCCAATGGTTCCTTCCACTGCTCTGAAAGTCATCTTGCTTTTAACTCTTCAGGGTAAATGTTCTGTCACATCTGGCTTCATCCCAAGAAACTAACACTTACACAGTTACTTGTGGCTGATATTCCCATAAAACTCCTCTTGTCCCTGTTTGTGGGGAATCAGATGAGTGTCTGGCAACAATTCAAGGTACAGAAATAGTGCTAAAGAGATGGTGACTTGCCTCGAATGTATGTGACTTGCAACCTGTATCATGTTCAGTGTCACGTCACATGGCCATTCATATGAATTGCTTAATTTCGTATTCCCCAATTTGTCATGATTTTTGCCTGATCCGGGCACCTATTAAAATGCTTCTTTTAACCTTTAAAAAAACTTAAATAGATTTATTTATTTTTAAAAATAGATTTATTTTAAAAGGAAACATCGTTTTTGAAGTAGAAAACATTTCTAATGGACATAAATAAAAGAAGTTCTTAAAAGCAAATGCAATGAAAACAACATGTTATTCTAGTTAGGTTACCTATCAGAGATCTGAGCCCAAGGCCGCCTCCTCTCAATTTGTTAAAAAGGGAAGATTGGCAAGGGTTGGACATATTAGCATCAGCTTGTTATTTTTCTACTTAATATAATCATAAAGATTAAAGTATATTGAAAAGAGAATGGCTTCTTTGCTGCGCACTTCACTGGTATTTTAATTTCCATCCATTTAAATTACGTCAAATACTACCAGTCTACATGTCTCACACTTTGGGGAACACTGGCTAACTTTAATTACCATGTATAATAATAATTATAATGAATTTAGTAAGGATTACAGGAAGGTGACACACTCACCTCAGGGTGTCAAGACAGGCTGTTGGAAGGCCAATTTATATGAAAGCATCTATGAGCTCCGGGAGAAAACATGACAGGAAATGCACAACTAAAGGTCATCCTCTGTAACAATGAAATTACAAGAGCAACTAAAGGCTGATGCTCCAACATCTGGAAGGAGAGTTTAGGTGCACAAGCTCTATCTTGGAACACTAGCATTTAGTTGAGGGATCTATGCAAATATCCTTCAACTCAAATCCAGGGAAAGTTTCTAAATTCCTTCAGAGACCAGAATGCAAAAATGTGCAGAGTGGAATACTAGTGAAAATGAACATGCACAGCGATAACAGATACAGCATCACTGGTAATGACTGTGCTCATTTGTGGCAGGTGGGAATAATATATCAGCTTCATGTGGTTGTTTTCAGATTAAGTGAATAATATATGTAAGAAAGAAAAAATTGAGATTTGTTTCTTTTCTTGTATTTGCCTCTTTTCCTTCCCTCACTTAAGCTGATAGCACTCTGCTTCCTTGTCTCAGGGGATGTTTGTGACAGGGAAGAAAACAGAAGTTGCTTTCGAAACACT